CAAGGAAATTGGCTGAGTTCAGTTGTTAACTGGCGTTGCTTACTCTTGGTTTAATGGGTTGAATTACACTTTGGAATGTGAATGTAGAGAACTTTCAAAGTATCCCTGAAAAATAAACCTTCCAAATCCTGGACTCTGCCGTACAACCATCTTTCCATTTTCCCTCCCAGTCCTCTGGTTCAAACATTTGTCATGCATCAGCCTTCCACATTTTGGTCTTTCTGGACCCACAACCCCTGCCAGAGCATTCAAAAAATATGAACCAGAAATGCAATTCTGACAGCAGTTCTAAAAAGAACATTTGTGCAGTTCAAAGATTCAGATCATGCAAAATATTGTTTTATTTTAGCTGCCGTAAAAGGTGTTTGAAAATCATGGCAAAAGTAAAATGAGTGATCCAGGCTCTTGTAGAAGCCCAGGATATTATCAACTAGTTCTCTCCCCACTGCCAAAGATGCTCCCTGCAAACCCCCTACAGAGTGTTCACCAGATGAGAATGGAAATATTAAGATAAAGAAAACAATTCTACAACATGGCAACTCTTTTCTCATAAGTCATGTAATGTTGTGAGTATTATAATAATGTTATTCTTTGTGAAATATCAGACCATAATAACGACGTGCTTTTTCCTCAGCTTAATTTTGTTTGCCTAGATATGTTTCAAAGGCAACTTTAATGGTGCCTTTACAGACTGAGGAAATTACCAACACAATAACTAATATGAAAACGGAAAGCACTGGGTCCAGATGGATTTCGAACTGTGTGATATAAGGCATTTTCAAGTTTTCTAAGTTCCTAAACTTTATTGGTTCCATAACTCTATTTTTGAATCTCATATTAGAGTAATTCCTAGACCAGACAGAGATCATAACCTTTGTGCTAATTAGTGCGCTATTTCACTGATAAATGTTGATATCAAAATGCTAACTGCTATTCTGGTTGCCAGACTACAGCAAGTTATTTCAATATTAGTCCAACTGGACCAGGTTGGATTAATTAAAAATTGACAATGGGCCGACACAGCTGAGATTGTCTCTCTGTGTGCTGGGAAATAGATTTATTGAAAATCTATCTTTTCCACTTAGAGAAATTGTGGTTTTCCTCCAGATCTTCAGAAATGGGTTAGATTTTTATATGAAACTTCTAGAGAAAGAGTTAGGAACGATAGGGTTTTGTCTGAGTGTTTTCCTACTTCATTCAACCCAAGTAGAACTCATGGTGCAGTCAGGGACCGTATGACCCCGTGAGTGAGGATGCAGGGCAGCGGCTGAGATGCCAGCCTCTTTCCATACTCCCCACCAAAGTAAAGGGGGCCTCTCCAGTGAGGAGAGACCCAGGCGGACTTCTCCTTGGGCAGGAAATGATGCTTCCCCTTTCCCCCAGGGAAAGAGAGGCTGGGACTGGGCCGCAAACTCCATAACGGAGAGTGCCCTTTCTTTCACTGTGCCCAAGTCATGAAATTGCCTGCCATGGGAGGCCTACCTGGCTTATTCCTGGGCTTCTCTTTAAGCGTGTGTCCCATACACGGTTAGTCAAAAACAAGTCATATAACTCCCAGCATTTCCCACCCTAAGCTGCTGTGAATGAAGAGCTAAGTGTCTACATCACTTACTTTCACATTATCTGGCCCAACTCAATGCTGTGAAACGTGTGCTTTTAATTATGAAAAATTTTAACAGGGGTGTAGTACTAAGCATGCAGTGGGTGCCCAAAGTTGTTTTGATTAAATTTATTCAATTTGTCTGATTAACCTATTTATATTGTTTGTTTTTACTATTCTATATCCCCCTTTTCCTTAATTACCTTAGTAACTTTATTTTTTAGGGTAGATTTTTAAAAGGTAGGAAATAAAATATCTTGCTAGGCATGCTGAGCACTTTTCAAAGGAAAATGGCAGACTATATTTTTTAAAATCCCAAATATATAAATTATCAGTTCATGCTGGGACATAACACTGAGAATAATGATACTGCACTTGGGAAGGGTGATTGTCAAGTTTCCTGTTTCTTGTGAAGGAGACGCCAAGTAGCATTTCCCATCTTCCTATTTGCTCTTATGCGGAGTCACCAGTGATAGATTCAGCCCCCGCCACCATGGGTTCCCTTTCACATTCTTTCACATATGTGATAGCAATCAGTCCTATGAAGCAAAGCAGAGGGCTACATTCAGGGAAGTAACTGGAAACAAACCCGACACAGCACCCCCTTCCCCCAACACATACAGGTCGGGTGGCTTGACCTGCTCCAAGAGGGGTCTCATGAGCGGTGACGCTGAAATCCCATGGACCCCAATGTGCACCCACTTTTTTCAGGGCACATTGTAGGTGCAGGTATTTCACCGGTGGGATAAACATGGCCAAACAATCACACCCCACGTCCGTCCCCAGAGAAGGGGAGCCAAGCACAAATAGTACGCTAGGCCCAGAACAACCAACTCATAGCACTGCTTCTCTCTGCAAACACCCTGTGGGTCACGGGCATGGACATTTTGGCCGGACCCACGTTATCCAACCTTAGTTTAAGCTGCTGGGAAAGGTGAAGCTGAATATATATAGTACGTGTAGATAAAAGTAATTCACAAAACCCAAATGAGCTTTGCAAATCCGGCCTCATTCTGTCATTTTCTTTTAGATTTAATTACAAACTTGTTCCCAGCTTATCCAAAATAAAAAAGGACTAATTCCCAGACTCTTTGTAAATCTGACATTTCTCTAGAGGCCAAAATAAGGTTGGAATTGAGAACAATTATTAACCAGAAGAGGTTTAACATCCCCTCTAGCTATGTCTTAAAACACAATAGCTACAGCACCCAGTGCATTGTTAGTACTATATGTTAAAATTATTCACAATTAAAAGCAAATATTTCATTTGCCCTGGCCAGATATATGAAAGTGAGTGCTGTAGATGCTGGGTTCTCTGTTCAGAATTACAATAAATTAAATTGGCTACACCTATGCATTGAATCACAGGCTCTATATGGTGCTATATATGTCCCTGCCAAAAAAACCTTTTGCATAGTCAACACCTCTTTTAAAGGAGATGTACCTTTGCACTTTCCTGAGCAGCCAGACTCTTTAAGAATATTGTGAAGTGTGCATGTGTCAGAACAAAAAAAGGAAAAAAAATCATAAGGAGCTCACTTCAAGGGGAATATTAATGTCTCACTTCCTTTTCACACGCAAAGATCCATTGTGTCTTTGCTTTCCCTTCACAGCTGTCAGGAAAAGCAAATTAGAAAAAGAAAAATTTTGCAGCCTCTCTTGGCCAAAGGCCAGGCTTGGTACCTGCTGCGTTTTGAAAGCAGTGACCGCTCTGAACAAGACCCAAGTGAGGCTTCCAATAGTTGGACCCATGTGCAAGTGCAGATAAAAGAATAATAAGAATGATGTATAAAGTTGTACACATTTGGAACAGAATTTTGAAAAGGGGGAGTGGCCAACCAGTGATAGCCCCTCCAAGGTGCCACTTGGTCATTTTAGAAGTCTGTAAGAAAAAAGAAAGATAAAAGGGTGGGGAGAGCTATGGCGGACCAAAAGGAGCCTCACAATTGCAGCAGGTAGGGTGAGAACAAATTGGCCCTATCCTGGTGTCCTCTGTGAGGGGGAAGAGGACCAAGGAGGAGGCAAAAAACCCCCCTGTGAGTGCACTCCGGCTTATTGTCAGAGTGGGTTCACATGATGCGTGATATTTGTTCATGGCATTGGGAACCCTGCCTATAGCCATGGAGATTAAAGCCCAATATTTGTTTATACTATTCTTGATTCCATTCTCTTCTACCTCCAAATCAACCCACAGTTAGGCAAATCAAGTTGGATGTTTACGAGAGGGATTCTAGAAAGACCACTCTTAAGTTCTCCAGCAGACACACAAGCCTTCTAAGGAGAGGTTTCTTTTCCCTGATTTGTGATAACCTTACCCCGTTCATTTCTAGTTACCTGCCAAGACTAGAGCTAATTGTTCTAATATGGGAGCAGCAGCTTGACAGGTGGGGTGGGGGAACTGCTTACCATGGAATTTGATTATTTTCCTATGTGTCAATGAACAGGAGGGCAATGGAAACAGGCAGCCAGTCAGGCAGGGCACGGCTCCAGCTAAACCATCCCCTCTCTCCCCTCACCTTCCCACAACACCAGTGTAGTGTAATGTAGTGCAGTGTAGTGTAGTGCTTAGAATGCCAGACTAGGGTCCAGGAGACCTTGGTTCCTATCCAGTCAAGAAGCTCACTGGTAATGTTGGACCAGTTGGCATAACCTACCTAACAGGGTGTTGTGAAGATTAAGTGGAAGGGAGGGAACCATGTATGCCACTTATTTATTTATTAGATTTATATCCCTTTTTCCTTTTTTGAAGCAAAGCAGCTTACGCCGTTCTCTTGCTGCTCTCAATCTTATCCCCACAACAACAGCCCTGTGAGGTCGGTTGGGCTGAGAGGCTGTGACTGGCCCAGAGGCACCCAGTTGGCTCCATGGCTGAGCGGGGACTCGAACCCCCATCGCTTGAGTCCCAGACCATGCCCTTAACTGCGACACCACACTGGCACACTCGACTGCCTTGAATGGAAGGTGGGAAAGGAATGTAACGAAGCACCAAGTGCCCTGTGGAAAGGGTTTGGAGGAGCCGCTGTGCTCTCCTGCTGTTTTACTATGATTACACTAATTTTCTGCAAGCTGCCTTGGAAAAGTCTCAAATCCTAAAAGGTGGGATATAAATTCTTATAAAAATAATACAAATGTATCACAGAAGCCCAGTGCTTCACCAGGCACAGGCAGGCTTTCTGCTGCAGATGCCTATGAACCAGCACGATTTAAGAAAGCCTTAAAGAGGTAGTTTTTGTTGCTTGGAAATACTTACTATAACTATGTTAAAGGACCTGGTCTAGATAGGCTTAGCTGGACTGATAAAATTAATGCTCTTGGGGATGAGATAAAGTCTAGATAATTATAAAGTTTTTTTTCTTTTTCCTATCATAGCACAAGAAAGCCAAACATGACGAATACTCACCACATTGTCCACAACACCTGTCCCATTTGCAAGCTGGCATTCTTCTGCGTGGCCATTACAAAAGCAGCTGCCACGGACTATTAAGTCATAGATGGCATAATGGGCAAATCTGTGGGGTTTCTGCAGCAGCCCTGAGCCTTGACAGGGACACTCTTGCCTCTTTAATAACAACAGCCGTAGATTGGTGAGTTTCAGAAGGTCTTGGGCTTCAGGACTGTATGGATCTTCAATCTTGTTAGCAGGAGTTAAGGCACGGAAGATCACCTTGAAAGACAGAGAGAGAATTAGAGATGGTGAACCTATGTAAAATGCAAACCTTGTTTTCCCTTTGCCTTTCCCTTTGCCTTTCCTAATAGCAGTTTAACTTGACAACTGAATCTCAAAGAATCAAAGGAACTGTGGTTTGGAAGGATGCTGCAAATTCTTGGTGAGAGTGTAAGCACTTTATGGCTACAGCACACAAGTGAGACAAGAGTTAATATACGGCTGAAGATCTTGCCCTGGAAAAATGGTTTCCAAGCTTTCATGAATAGGATTGCCCAATCTTTTCACTGTGAGTGTGTAGAAATGTGGGATCAGCTGGGTGCTGCACTTACACATAGACAAACCAGTTGAAAGTGGGTTGTCATTGATTAATAGGTTGTCATTGAAACATGGATTGTCTTGTCTGAGGATAACCAACCATGCTTAATAACCCACAGTTCAAAACCCAACAGCAAATTATGGGTTCTTTTCATGGGTTGTTCCAGGTTAAGATGCCATGGCTTGTTAGTGCAGCTGGTTCAGACAGTATGATGATCCTCATTCCAGCAACAACCCATGGTTCAATAACAAGAATTGTGTGTGGGTTGTTGAGTTGTCTGGACCCATTTACACCCCTCCACCACATCTATCCTCCCTACTCACTGACGTCTAGATATCACTGGGGAGAGGGGACACAAAAGTCTCCCCAAAAATTACCCCAGTAATTCCTACCAAGACTGGGAAAACTGTGATTCTGGAAGCCAGGGAACAGCACCTCTTAGCACAGCTTTGCTAATCAGCTGGAATTTGGGGGGAAATGGGTGGCACCCTGCCAGCTTCCAGAGGCACACAGGGAGTGGTCAAGGGCTGCAGGTTATGTACCCTTGATGCACATACAGTGGTACCTTGGCTCACAAACTTAATCCATTCCACAACTCTGGTAGACCCAAATTGGTCATAAGCCAAGTCAAATTTCCCCATAAGGTTCAGTGTAAATAAGGTTAATCCGTTCTGTAACCATTTTTTTATCACAAAAATTTGGAACAAAGTGACAAAGAACAACAAAGTAACAAAGAACAACAAGGATCGCGGCCATCTCTCCCCACCCCCAGCACGACCGCGATCGCCCCGTCTTCCCTGCACGAGCGTGACCACGATCGCAGCCATCTCCCACCTGCTCAGCACGACCGCAATCACGCCTGTCTTCCCTGTACAAGTTTGACCGCAATCGCGGCCATGGGCGCGGTCGCACTCAGGAGGGCAGAGGGGCGTGATCGCGATCGTCCCCCGATGCAGAGTTCATGACCTGCGGCAAAATTTTTATGAAATTTCTGTTCATGATCCGATTTGGTCATGCACTGAGGCGTTTGTGCGCCAGGTACCACTGTACTTTGCAGATTCTGAAACCGCTATTTTCACTGAGTTCTACTAGCAAAAGCACTTTGAGTTCTGTCACTCCCCCACTTCCCCAGCAGCAGTTGCCATCTGGAACTTCATGAATGAAGTGAGAGCATTTTTATATTAGACACTGTCTCTGTCCCACCCTTCCTTTTTGTGGGGGAGGTCAAGAAAGACAGACAGACAGAAAGACAGAAAGAAAGAAGCAAGCACGCAAGCTGGACTGTGTAAAACCAATTCCCAGTAGCTTATTGTTTTCAAGACGAAGGGATGCGCTTCCACAGATTTAGGTGCCTGGTCACCCTTTGCTATGCGCCAACAGCACATGGCAGACAAACCCTGTAAAAATAATAGAAATCAGCTGGCCGGCGTGGGAGCTGGGGAAGCATCTCTGCCTGTAAAAGCATTGCAGAAAGGCCTGTAATGAATGCCATGCATTTCTTCTGCTGCTCAAAGAAGATACTTGTTGCCCTTTTCCCCATCTTCTTTACCGATTCTTTGGCGGATGCAGATTTGCAAACAGAACAGGGTCCAAACCGGAGATGTCTCTTGCTCATGGGAGCAATGGGCAAAATGCCCAGCCTGTGTAAGCAATGCAGGTGCTTACACATTCCCTGATCAATGAAAGCATGAGAAAACAACACACAGCCCCTTTCCGGCCAGCTGTCCACATTCCCCCGATGAATGGAACCATGTGCAAATGGCCCATTCTGTTTTGCACAGGTGCCTGGCATTCTTGTGATCAATGGAATTAAAGGCCAGCGACCAAGTTTACTCAGTCCACGTGCCTGCCCCAGCTTGGTTAGTGGAAACAAAGGCGGACAGACCAGCTTATTCAGCTCAGATAGCACCATTCTGTTGTTGACAGAGAAGCACTGAAATTAAATATGAATTCAATACCACTGGAGGAGTAGATCAGGAATTGCGATTTCCCCTTCAGAAGTTCACAATTCAAACAGTCACATGCTCGTGGACACAGTATTTACATGTTGATATGGGTCCCTTCAGCCCTAAATTCACATTTCCTCCTTTTTGTAGAAGCATGGCACTAGAGTGCTCAGTGGGGTCAGTCTTCTGTCCGAAGACATCTTCTGCCTTCTTTCTGAAGGGCTGCCCAGTCCAAAGCTGGCTAAAGAGGATCCAGAAGAAGGAAGAACAACAGGGGCCAAGGAGCTGGCCACCAACTGAGCACCTCAAAATGTTGAGGAGGCCCACAGGTCTCCTCGCCACAGACTCCCCCACTGTGGCGAGATGTTTCATCTTTCTGTTTAAATTATAGTAATGATTTCTACATTTGCATCTATGTATATCCATTAGCAAATTCAGATTTTATGCCGCCTGCATCCTCTTTTGTCCTCTTTTTGGTGATGCATTTCCTCTTTTCTGGCAACGGCCAAATGGCCACTCTTCATTTCTTATCAATAATTTATTATAGAATTTGTAAATAGCTCCACATCTAGAGGTACAGCAATAGTATGTAACATTAAAGAAAAAGCCTAGATAGATGACAGGAGGAACTCTCACAATTGCTAAGGACAGGCAAGGAGCAAAAGCAAAAGGTGACAGAAATAGGATCGGATCCTGACTACAGGATTGTATAGGCATCCTGAATGACTATCTTGCAGAGAGAAAAAGAGCTATTGCCAGCACAAAGAAATACAAAAGAACATAAAGAGAGGAAAACAAGACACCTTCTCCAGAAGACCCAAGAAATCAAAGGGAAATTCAAGCCCAGCTTAGGAATGCTAAAAGATGAACAAGGGAACATACTATCTGACAAGGAGTAAATAAAAAAGCTGGAAACAACATAAAAAGAACTGTACAGAAGAGATGAAAGGATGGCAGACCCTTTCAAAGTAAAATCTATGAGGAAGAACCTGCAGTATTAGGAAGTGAAAACACTTGGAAGTTATGACACACCTGGAGTAGATAAGATACTAGTAGAACTATTCCTAGCTGCAGAGACTGAATCAGTTCAAGTCCTAACAAGAATATGCCAACAAATATGGAAAACAAAATAATGACCTACAGACCTGAAATGTTCGATATGCATTCCATTCCCTAGGAAAGGAGACACAAGGAAGTGTACCAGCTATCGGACTATTGCACTAACTTCCCATTCAAGCAAAGTGATGTGTAAGGAGTTACAATAAAGCATTTTACCCTATATAGTGTGAGGAATTCTTGATGTTCAAGTGTGATTCGGAAAAAAAGAGACTTTTGAGATCATATGGCATATATATGCTGGCTACTGGAGCACACCAAAGAATTTAAGAAGATCAGTCTATGCCTTATAGAGTACAGCAAAGCCTTTGATTGTGTGGAAGACGAGAAGCTATGGATGGACCTCAAAGAAATGGTGTGCCGCAGCACTTGATTGTCCTGATGCATAATCTGTACTGCATGGACATAATATGGAGAAATAGAATGGTTTCCTATAGTCAAAGACATCCAACAAGAGTGTATTTAATTTCCCTCTCTGTTCCATCTATATACAGAATATCTCAAAAGGAAAGCTGGTTCAGGATCAAAAAAAGCAGAGTGGAAATTGATGGAACATACATCAGTATTTTAAACGTGCAGACAATATTAATGGGAGAAGGCAGGAACAAATTGAAGCAACTTCCAATGAAAGTGAAAGAAGAAAGTGAAAAAGTAGCAGTGCTGCTGAACACTGACCAAACAGAACAAAGCAAAATGATTTCAGAAGAACTAAGCAAATTTAAAGTCACCGATGAATAAATTAAAATTGTGAAAAAGATTGTAGTTATCTTGGCTCAGTCATCAATTCTGTTGGAGGCAGCAGCCAAGAAATTAGAAGACTGAGACTTGGGAAGGCCACAGTGAAGGTATTAGAAAAGATAATCAAGTGTAAGGACACTTCACTGGAGACCAAGGCCAAGGTCATCCACACTATTGTTGGGAGTGAGAAAGATGACTGCTTCGGATGCACATTTTCAAGGGCTCCTGGCTGGTCTCCAAAAGAATAAAGAGGAGGAGGGGGAATGTGTGGGAGGGGGCCGGGGACTGTGGGCCATTCTGAGACACTGAGAGGAGAGAAGCAGAGATGCTTATCTCAAGGCCAGACTCCCCAGGTGGGCCGGCAGTCTCTGGAAATTACCAGGATGTAGAGCTGGCAGGAGGGGACTTGGAGCAGGGGAGTTTCTTAGACACAGACGTGGTGGGCATGACCATGACTGCATGACCCATTGTCAGTGCAAGAGGGTGGCCCAGTTAGAAGAGAGGCATGCAGAGAGGAGGCATGCCTGTTTTCAGAAGCCCTCTCCCAAAGGGGTGGAGGCCAGGCATGCTCATAAGGAGAGTTCCTGGAAGTGAATACTTGATTGGGTTCAAGCTGTGGCAAGCTAGGGTTCCTCCCTTCATACATTCAGAGCTACTCTTCTTGCAAACAAGGGTCTGTGGCTCTGAATGTGCAAAGGGAGGAACCCTGGCTCCTGACAACGATTGCATTCCCAATCACTATGTAGGGGTATGAAAGCTGGACTGTGAAGAAAGCTGACCGGAAGTACCTAGATGCACATGGAACATGGTGCTGGAGGAGAGTTCTGCAAATACTCAGGACCAAAGATAGATGAACCAGTGGGTCCTGGACTGAATCAAGC